AAGTCATTTAAAAACGTCTTGAATAAGAATTGGTTTTTTGATGAAGAGTTGGATTTTTGCTTGGATTTAAATGTGCATAAAATGTGATAAGTACACTTTAAGCAGTGTCACAATGCTTAAAGCACATGGAATACATTGCGTGCATCGCACTTCAGAATATATTTTATTATTTAAAAAAATGTTGCTATCTGCGGCCTGTATTGTCATTTTTTTCCCCGTAAATAATTTGTTACAATTATGAATAAGCTGAGTAAAAAATTAATGTCACAAGTTTATCGATCCACTTACATGTCTTAACATATTTTCACCTTCGCTTATTTATCTTTCTTTGTATTTATTCAAATGAAATTGAGCAATTTGTGAGCAAACGATAAAAATATCAGTGCACCTTGTACCCGTTACACATGCAAATATGGTATGGTGACACATAAAATATGCTGGCATATGTTAGTAAATAAAGGTTAAGTGTACTATGGTTATACATGTGAATTGTAAAAATGCGGAAATGCGGATATAAAGCAATTGACAAGGGGCTTCTCACTAGAATTTTAAATGTCGATTTCTTTTACATTAACACAAATTTAAAATTATCTAAAATTCCAAAAAAATAGAACTTCTCGAAAATTTGACATTTTTCTTTAAATTCATAAAAATCTTTTAAAATTCGTATAAACTTACGAAAACTCATGAAAATTTGTAGAAATTTGCAAAATATTTATAAAGTTTGACGAATTTCTACAAATTTCCGCGAATTTCAGCAAATTTTCACGAATTTTTAATCAAGTTTAAAGCTTTTGCAATAGAAACGTTAAAAAAGAAATGGAAATTAAATGACAAAAAACACTAAATTGCTGGATCAATTTTTATTCTTTTTCAAATGGGCTAACTAAACACAACGATTATCAACCGAATGCTTACAATTTCATTATCAACATCGCTTTCACGAAAACCTGCCAAAAGGAAAGTGCTTTCACTTCAGGGTGCACTTACAACAACTCTGCGTAATTACGTAGAAAAAGCGTAAACCATTTCATATCCGAGGTTCTATAGTAGCCCAAAGTAAATACCACAAAAGCAAAAGAAAAAAAATGCCAAACCGCACGCTCATCGGCTCAGAATATTTAGCAAATACTATAGTCATAACAAACATAAAATTATGCTTTGTAAATAATTTAATTAGATGAAAATGTGTATGAGACACTGCAAAATGCACGGATGTGTGTGTGTGTGAAAGAGAAATATAGAGCATTACAATAAACGAGCTTCCGCGGTGAAAGCAGTATTGAAACATGATTGAAATTTATTAGGCATACATTATTACATTTGCTAGCCACAATGCTTGTTGTTGTGTATACTTTTTTATTACAATTATTGGGACACGTATGTAATAGCACGTGGATGTCCACATTTACTGTTTGATTGTGTGTTTGTTCATATGTTCTTCAAAAATAAGAATGCCACCGCAAAGCATGCAGTAAAATCGTGGCATAAGCACTGAGAGCTGAGCATACTAAGTGTAAGTGATGCATGCTTAATATGATTCGCTATTTGATTTGATCGCGTGTGTAAGAAGGGGTGCGTGTGTATGTGTTTATGTTTTCTTTTTGTCACATAACTCGTTTCGTCGTTACTCTTTTTTTTCGTTTCTCGTTGCTGTTTACAATCGCTCGGCAGTTAATGGTGTAATCATCCTTTTCATTTTGCGTTGGCGCGAAGTGAATACCGCACACATGTTGTTTGATTCTATGCCACTAACCTTTCACATTTTATTTTACCGTCTGGGAGCATCTCTATCCCTCTCTTTCTCTGTTTACCAAAACGTTCAATTGCATCGCAGGCTTTGCGTATGTTTTTCACATTTCATTATCCACTTTACATTTTTGATAAGTGTTTATATTTGTTTGTATATCGTTTATTTTTAGTTTAGATGCTCCATTTTTGCGCCATTTGTCTCCATCTGTTTTTTGATCCTTTATCACACACCATATACGTACAGAATCGGTGTGAAATTGAACCAAATAAATAGTTCAAAGTAAGCATTTGCCAAGTAAGCATGCGTGGATTTAAATATTTTTGTAGTGGATTTGTTGGGTACGGTTGTTCACACATTATTTCAATGCATTCAAAGCTCAAGGTATCAAATGAACTTTGATGAGAGATCAAAACCCAGCACAACTTAAATTTGAAAATTTTGGCATACTTTCTAAACACATGTCCAAAAATGGTGAGAGAAAAAAAAAAGAATTTTGTTATAAGGATCCAAATTAAACACATTCCACTCTTTAAACACATTTTATGCTTATGGGTGAGTTGACACTTTTGCTCTTTCGTTCGAAACACACATTTTTTTCTATTTTAGAGTAAAAAAAACTTTGGTAGCATGGTGCGTACCAATTTCTTTGCACGAGCGTGTGTGAATTGTTGCTGCCTGACGCCGTCAATGCCGAATTATTAAATATGCGTCTGTTAAGATAACAAAGGATTGGCATGGGTTATACTATAAAACAATGAACATTTTTCCACTTATCTAACAAAAACTTATTATTTATGCGAGAACAAAGAGACTACAACAACATATGTTCCAATAATATTCACAGCGCCTTGCAATCGCAAACATTAATTTTACGATGGGAGAAAAGAGCGACAAGCAAAATTGTGAGGCGTGTAGGTGCAAAGCTTACCGGTTCACATTCTCGTAAATATGACATTATCCGACTATAAATTTCAGTTGCGTTTCGATATGGCATTTACCAATAAGACGGGTGTGTGTATATGCTCAACGCATATTATTTGTTTGATGAAAAGATAACAGTTGGAAGCAAAGAGAAATATATGGACGTTGAAGCCAAATAACACACACACACGAGAATAAAAATGAGGTTTAGCCTTTTATATCTCGGATATTAACGAGACGAATTTAGAAGTATCATAATGAATAAAAGAGAAATATAACAAGTAATTGAAAAAAAAAATTAAGGAATATATACTTTTATGAAAGTAATGCACCTTAGACATTCTGTATGAATGAACGATTGACCATTTACGCCTAGATTTACGCAATAAAATACTTTTATTTTCGCAAATCCTTTGGCAACAAAACTGTCATTGAAACGAAAAATTATTCTCAATTTTGCAGGTGAGACTTTCAGCAATGTTTTGAAGTAAAAGTATGTCAAGTGTGTAAATTAACACCTTTGAACATTTTCACTTGCAATTCCAAAGGTTTATTGACATTTATCGCTTGATCGATTATGTCACACAACTTTTATGTTTACTTCTAACACGCACATGTGCGTTTCCAATAAAAGAATAAATCGGATGTTTTACGTTATAAATCATACTTGATCAAGGTAGATTATTTAAAAGGTCTTCAATTTTCGGATCGAAAACTTTAGCAAAATGAAAGAATTTTCTGCTGTTCGTTTTTAATCGAAATCCAAATATTTTCAATTATTTCGTCGTTTTTATATCGTCGTTTTTTATTTTAAAAAAATGAATTTGAAATGTAGTTGGCTCCGGAATCGTTGAAGCGTAAAAATCTGCACTGCAGAAATCATTACAAACAGGTCAACTGTTCATTAAATATCATTGACAGAACAACCACATTAATGGTAAACAAATTTTATGCATTTTCACTTCCTCGTTAAGAGGTTTCGCAACTCAAATATTGAATGGATAACTGTCATCTCACAATAAGAAAATTACTTTTTTGTTTCTTTGCAACGCTATTCCAAATTTTCAGTAAAAACAATCAACAACTTTAAAAATCCCCTCAAATTATGGATGGCGCTGCAAAATTCGTTTCATGGAGATTATCGCCGAATTATCAAACATACACATGGGCAATCACATTAAGAACCAATGACGATATAAAAACAAAGGAAAACCTGATATCCGCTGTTGATTCATGTCGATTCATGTGCATGTGCAATGGCATGGATGTGATTTTGTTTTTAACAAACGAATTGTGAATGTATTGGCATTTATTTTGATGTGACTTTATAAATTAACGCAAATTAATTCGAATGAAAAGTGGGCCAACACACAATATCATCAGTTCCACTCTTAATCAATGTCTACATTTCATCGTAAATAATGAGCCAATCAGTTTTGTTTGAACGGATTTATTGGCTTATACTGTGGTTATGATCAAATATATGTTTTTGTTGCGATTCTGTTTTATCATTAGAACCAAACATCATATTGATTCAATCATACATTGTCGATTGATATAACATGCTGTTTCACATTCAAACTGATTCTGATATGAATTCACTCATTCTCCTTTCTTTTTCATTGACCTAAGGAACGTTGTTCACCTCATCAATAGCCACCAGCAATATGCACCATTATAACTACCTATCTCGAAATCGAATGACGCAATAAAACAATTTCACAACTCGTAAAAACATAATAAAATGGATTGGTGTGTTTCATTTGTGTCGAATCGTGTGCAGTTCATTGATTGGCTTTGTGTCATGCATATCGTATCGTATGTATATTGAATGTTCTTCAACGGCGACCATTCGTGTCGTTCAGTCGGTTACAATGAGTAAAGTTTTTCCTTTTTTCTGTTGTTTTGTTTTATTAACATCGACAAGTGTGATGATTGTCTCTTCTCTGTCTCTTCAGCTGTATATTACTTTGACGCGGGTACAATATTGAAACTACACAACACAATACACATGCACACTAAAATCTGATTCGATTAAAGTCTGACTTCATTTCTATTCCTTTTTTTTATTGTTTTACATAATAAAAACGGTCGCAATCAAACCAATTTTTTGCTGTTGTTTAACTTTATCTTTTTTTTACCTGATATTGGATCCGATACATTTATTGAATGAGATGTAAATGAGATATTGAGACGAATCCAATTGGATTTTCTTCATTCAATTTGGAATGTTAAAAAAAATGCATCTAAAAGCTTGCTAATTGAATAATGCGAAGCAAAGTGTGGCGATTGTGCTATATGGAAAATGTAAATGTTTTATAAATACCTTGGAATTTGTAAAGCAATTTCATCTAAACTATCGGATGGTTTAATGGGCGTTTTTTCAAATAGCCGCGACGGGGCTAATGTTAAATGACCGGTTGTATCGCTATCACTACGAAATATTCGGGCACCACGACGTTGTCGTTGGCGTTGCTGTTGTACCGATTTTTTTCGCTTATTCTCCTGTTCACGTTGTAAATTATGCAAACGAAAGAAAAACATCGACATTCTGCTAATTGACGATTGATTTGATGATCGTGTCGATATATTTGAATCCAATGATTCCGTTGTGGATGCAATTGTGGTCGTTGATGATTGTTGTTTCAACGATGGCGGCGGCGATGGATATTGTTGTGTTTCCAATTGGTTTAACGGTGGTCGTTCGGATTGGAGTGTATTGTGTCGTCGTTGTTGTCGTCGTCGTCGTCGTTGTTCGTATTGGTGTTGTTCAATCGCATACATCATTGATTGATTGGTTGCGACATGGATTGACAATTTTCGTGTTCGTCCGATATCCGTTTTGTTGAGATCATTTGAATTTAGGTGTATTTGTGGTATGTTCATTATATGTAAATTTTGGTGTGTGTTTTGGAAAGTTTTGTGTGCGATTTTTGAACAGTTTGGTTTTGTTTTATATTGTGAAGTGGTTTTTTATCGTTTTTCGGTTTACATGATGTCATAACGGAAACATGAGTGTAAAAAAATAGTTGTCATTTAATGATTAGATAGATTACTTTATTGTGTTGTTGAACAATTGAAACCGTTTCATTTTTTTTTATCTATAGTAAAAAAATAATTTTTGTTGAGTTGGAAGAAGGAGATGGATCAAGGAGAGAAAAAAAAGAAACAAAAACAAATTAAGAAGAAAGAAGGCAAAAAAGCGAAAAGATAAATTTATTAATAAAAATGTAAATAAGCAAAACAAATGAGATTTGATGGAGAAGGCGACCAAATACTAACAGATATACATATACAGAATTACCAAGCGAAAAAAAAAATATATTAAAAAAGACACAGACAAAAATGCAAATTAAAATAAATTACACACATTTTATCACTTGAATTCTCGTTCATGGATGTCATTACATGTTTTAAGCCGAAGCAAATGCATAAATTGACATGAAATTCTACAAGCTTTTTTTATTCAACCGCGCAGAGTATTATCTTCCTCTCATGTTAAGTGAAAGAATATATAGGCATTGATTAATTGGATGTTGTTGTAACTTAATCAAAATTAATGTCGAATGAAATGTGAAGAAAAAGCTTTTAAAAACAGGACTTTTATTTCCAGTATATTATTACAAAATTTCTTTTTTCCAAATTTCATTCGAGAAAATTCCCAAATTTTGAGTGTTGAAAAAAATGTTAATGATGAGATTTGGTCTTTGGGTAAGATATAGAGATTTTTTTGGTACTGCTGTCGTTGTGTGAAAAAGCTTTTATGTGGGGTAAAAACTACAATTCAAACGCATACCGCCATCTGTACAAAAATGGAAAAAGTTTCATTAGCTTTGCGAATGGTGGTGTTATTTGCTTTTGCTTCTATCCATTTTTCTAGGTTTTGGCTACCACAAATGCTGCTTTGTCATAAAGAAAAACCGTTAATTTTCAACCGTTATAAAAACGATTTTTCAAAACCAACAATACAAAAAGCAGGATGGCCAAAGCTTAATCCATCGCTTAGAAACTCTTTTTCTCGATTTCAACATTTTTTTTCGACTTCAACGTTGTTTACCAAAGATTATCCCATTTTAAGAGTATATTGTGATTTTACTGTTTATTTTTTGTATAAATTGAATCATTTGCATTAATTCAATCACTGAGATATTTGATTGACATATTTAATGATTGGAATAAACCATTCATTTAAATATTCGATTTGGTTGTTTGATCGACACTTCCACAGAATTCTATTTTCTCTTTCCGAACCGGTCTTTCCATTTTAGATTCAACATCATCCTAAAGTGGAAACAATTGTACACATCAATTATGTTATTTTATTGAATCTACTTTGAATGGTTAAATCGAACGATTTTGTTTCCCTTTCGTCACTCGCTAAAAATAATCAAACCAAACTCTTCACTTCGGCTGACACATAACACACTGCAATAAAATTGTCTAGAATCGATGCTCGTTTTTAATGTATATATAAATTCCGACGGTGTGAAGAATTTAAGAGATTTTCGTAAATAAATAATAAATAAGTTGTTTTCGATGACTTTTTATGGTACACTACTCAAGATTACGGTTTGCCATTTAAAATGTTAAAAGTGCACACAATCATTTTAAAATACACATCTCAATGTAAAATTATTTGAGAGTAATAAGTAACGAGTGTGATATAGCATTACCTTCATTCATCTCTTGTCACGTATCGATTTTCGTTTTTTTTTTTTTTTTTGAATTGAACAATTCTCACATCTCAAAATTCAACATTTGGTGGAAGAGAAACAACAACACATAATAATATTCGTCTGCTTCGTTTACATCATATATGAAAATTCACTTATTGTTAAAATTTTCGAGTGGGAGCAGTGAAAATGGTAGAAAATACCGTGAAGTGAGCGGTAAGTCGTAAACAACATGCAAAATTGTTGACTAAAAATGCGACTAAATGTGGGAAAATTCACAAAAGTCGAGTAATTCTCGTCTTTTTTTTTTCTCTGCCATTGCAATAATGATATAAACGCACATGCATAATTCAATTTTGCAGCACACATTTTGATCAAGAATGTGCATTTGTCATATATTGAAATGTGCTTTGCTATCATTTTGGCATGAAATTGAGAGCGGCGTACTTTTGTAGGTCTTTCAGACTTTTGTAGGTCTCAACGGAGTGAGAAAGAGATGAAGCAGCTATATTTGATTTTTTTGTTGCTTCGGTTAAGCAAATCACAAACCACAGCATATGTCGCTGTCAAATATAAATTATGTTAGGTGTTAATAAACACATCCCAGCTGTATATTTGAAAACGTGTAAAAATATCGTCAGGCAAATAGCGGGAAAAAACGGCGACGATATAGTTTAATAGCATCATTTTTACGTTATTTCACCAAGCGCAACGCATTTTTGCGCATTATTTTTTTACCGAGAATGAAATAGGAAGTTAAAAATCGGTCTGTCTCGAATTAAATATTCAACTGTTCCACTATTAAGAATGAAATTAGCAATCTATGTTGGTTGTGTTGGTGCTTGGTTGAGCGATGCATGCATATGACATTCAATTTTTTGATGAAAATGCGCGCGGGAAATGCTTTGGATGAAATGAACACATAATCTGATTCAAAGTTAGTGGGCGAAATCGGAAGCGAGGCAATAAAACTGATGCTCGCTTTCTTTTCATTCTATGTTTATATTTTTCTCGCATTTCGTCATACTTTGTAGCAGCATATCTCTCGAGTAAATGAAATTATTCAAAGGGCATTTGTTTTGCATCATTCTCAAGAATGCTGAGCATTTAATGACAAAATAGTGAAATCAAATTATGCTAAAACATTCACACTTTTCGTCTTTTTTTGTGTCGCCTTTCATAGTTCAATCAAGCATAATCAATTTCGATTAAATAGACACACTTCATAAGATAATGTGAATCTGAAGATAATAGTCGTTTGTGATGGCTATAAATATCTCATTTTAATTTGATTAATTTTTTGATACTTTTGAGAATGAAATTGATGCTGTGCCGAAAAATTCCTTTTAACCCTCCTATCACAGGTGCTGACATGATTTTTTTAGGGGAGATGGGAAAATTTTGTTGGGGATCCCTGGTAAAGTTCATAGGGGGTCCTCGCAAGAGTCAATTTCATCTTGTGTAAAAGTAGTTCAGATCAAAATTGATGACCTCTTTTAGGTTCTCAGTTTTTCGTCGAAATCCCTAGCACATCGATTCTTTAGAAATTGATGAAAGAGATCATTTTCTAGGGTTTCCAAGAATGTTTTTAGGGTCCCGAAAAATGTTTTAGGGGGGAGCCCATCACCAGCAATGCCTATGGACAGAATGTGAAATGAACAAAGTTATGTCTCTTTTTTTTGGTCGAATGGACCGCTGCTGTGCGCAAAAAGGTTAAAAATATTCAATTTCAATTGTAAATGTTATTTCAAATAACTTATTTGTATATACTTATTATATTGTATGACACATTCGGTAGTACGCAACAAATATCAAGTTATTACGAAAACACCATCAATATTGTTTATTACGACAATAACAAAACATTTTTGAAGCATCTGTTGATTAGTTTTGCAATATACACGCGTACAAACATTTGTTTGTTCGTTTATATCAGATTTCAATATATCCACACGCGCTCACGGTATCTATGAACTTTTCATTTGGTAAACAAATATATTTGACAACACACACATACACAATGCTGAATTGGCAATATTGGCAGTCACGACGCAAATATCAAACTTCTTGCGATTTTGTAAAAGAATTGAAATATTCTCCAGTTATCGCGTCATGTTTAACGTTGGGCAAAACGCACCGTATTAGCTGTCAAATAAACGTGAATATAGTAAGATTGTGAATAGAGACACACTATTTGCCGTATATATATTTCATAATTGCCTGGCAGCAAAAACCGAGTCGATGGAAGATATCGTTACAATCAAGAACGTGGTATTCATCACGCGTACATAAAATGCAATGAAATAAAGCACATTGTTAGTAAAAACATAGACATACACCAAAATTTGGCCGCAAGCCACAAAAATGTTTTTATGTCGACAATGTACGCCAATTACAATGAAATCCGAACACCTCTGTTTGATATTACACGTGCGCATCCATTTACATCAAGAATAGTTAAAGAAATAGAGATAAGAACCAGAACAGTACAATAATGAACGAATCTATGCTCGGAAAACTGCAATTGATTCCGCACCGATTCGAATTTATTACGAATGCAACACAAACTCAAGTTTTGTGTGTTGAGCTTTTGGTGAATAATATTCACTAGATCTAGTTTCAGTTATTGTGTACTTGTTAGTTGCGTTAACAAGCAACAATGAGGTAACAGTACTCAACCATGGTACCACAAACCCCGTGCTCGCACATATGCAGGGCGAGAGAGCGAGAGATGTGGAGAGCGAGGCGAAGCGAATGAAAGTGAGGTGAAGTGATCTCGACTGTATTTCACAGTTGAGACATTCAATTGTTGCGGAGTTTACTTGACAGTAACAAGCTCAGGTATGACTCAAGCATCTCAAACGAAAATGTTGATCTT